TATATTAAATCATTTTGTTTTCCAAATCTGTCCCCTTTTCCCCAAAAGATAATTATATTTTAATAAGAGGTTTAAATATATATATATATATATATATATATATATATATATATCTCCTAGCTAAGTTGAAATCAGAAACCTGTTTCTCTTTCTTAGAAACTCTATCAAAAAGAAAAAAAAAAGCTTAATAGCTTTTCTTACTTGAAGACCATTTTTCAAATTTCAAATTGTCAGTTTTCAAAAAGTCACTGTATGTTATGCAGTCTTGATATGAAATAACCCTTGTTTCTATGGTTTTTTTTTTTTTTTTTTTTTTTTTAAATCTTTATTGTTCAGATTATTACATTTGTTCCTCTTTTTTTCCCCCCCATAACTCCCCTCCTCCCAGTTCCCGCCCCACCCTCCGCCCTCACTCCCCACCCACTGTCCTCATCCATAGGTGCACGATTTTTGTCCAGTCTCTTCCCGCATCTCCCACACCCCTTTCCCCCCCAGGAATAGTCAGTCCATTCCCTTTCTATGTCCCTGATTCTATTATAATCACCAGTTCATTCTGTTCATCAGATTATTTATTCACTTGATTCTTAGATTCACTTGTTGATAGATGCATATTTGTTGTTCATAATTTGTATCTTTACCTTTTTCTTCCTCTTCCTCTTCTTAAAGGATACCTTTCAGCATTTCATATAATCCTGGTTTGGTGGTGATGAACTCCTTTAGCTTTTCCTTATCTGTGAAGCTCTTTATCTGACCTTCAATTCTGAATGATAGCTTTGCTGGATAAAGTAATCTTGGTTGTAGGTTCTTGGTATTCATCACTTTGAATATTTCTTGCCACTCCCTTCTGGCCTGCAAAGTTTCTGTTGAGAAATCAGCTGACAGTCGTATGGGTATCCCCTTGTAGGTGACTGAGTTTCTTTCTCTTGCTGTTTTTAAGATTCTCTCTTTATCTTTTGCTCTTGGCATTTTAATTATGATGTGTCTTGGTGTGGTCCTCTTTGGATTCCTTTTGTTTGGGGTTCTCCGTGCTTCTTGGACCTGTAAGTCCATTTCTTTCACCAGGTGGGGGAAGTTTTCTGTCATTATTTCTTCAAATAGGTTTTCAATATCTTGCTCTCTCTCATCTTCTGGCACCCCTATAATTCTGATGTTGGTACGCTTGAAGCTGTCCCAGAGGCTCCTTACACTATCCTCGCATTTTTGGATTCTTTTTTCATTTTGCTTTTCCGGTTGGGTGTTTTTTGCTTCCTCGCATTTCAAATCATTGACTTGATTCTTGCGCTCCTCTGGTCTGCTGTCGGGAGTCTGTATAATATTCGTTATTTCAGTCCGTGTATGCTTAATTTCTAGTTGGTTCCCCAATATAAGATCGAGGGTCTTATTAGTTTTCTTGTAGATCTCATTAAGTTTATCGGCGGCTTCTAAACAGTTCTTGAGAGACCTTAAAAGTGTGGTTCTGAACTCTATATCTTCCATTGACAATTTTGTCCTGTTTCTTTGTCTCCGCATTTTGTTATGCTTCCTTGGTGCACCCCCTAGTGGTCTTTGTTCGCAGTCTTATAGTTAAACCTTGATTGCTGTAGCTAATTCCAGGGAGGGTTTGACCTCCAGGCCAAGTGGCTATGAGAATCAGCTGTGTCAGCAGTGAGAGAACTTCTGTCCTCTAGGGAGGTGCTAATCTGGCCTTTGCCTGAGGCTATCCGGCAAATGCCTGTGTGCAGGGCTTGGGCGGGGCGGGTCGCACAGGATCAACAGGGTGGGCCGGAGAGAGCAGTTATGGCGGCTCTCAGTCCTGTCCCCAGGGGCTCTGCCTCTCTGAGTCCCAGCACCCGCTGCAAAGCTCAGAGAGAAAGCTGCACTCGCTCTGACCGAAGCCAGACAGTCCCGCTTCTCCCGTTTGAGTCTGGGTCCCTAAAGACTCACCCGGATCTGGAGCTCAGAGTCTGCGACTCCCTCCAGATTGAAAACGCCTGAAAACGCCAACCGCGCCCTCCGCCGCCAGCCCAGTCCGCGCACTCCGCACCTCAGAATCTGACTTCAGCACTGCGCCTCCTCTGAGTGTCCGTATGCGTTTCTCTTTCCTCCTAGTTGTAGGACTTCCACTCAGCCAGCGTTCCTGTGGTTCTGGGTGATGTCCCTTCCGTTTTTTGGTTTCACTTTTGAAGTAGTTGTTCTCTATGGTTTTAAGAAACATTTTGCAAAGCCTTCTGAGTTGACATTTTAAAATCACCATGTAAATCTGCCTGGCAAGTTTTTTGTTATTTTGGTAATGTGAGGTATGAATAAATGTTCTGTCTATGACTTTTTTAGCACCTGGTTCTAGTTGCTTGCTGTTTTAGTTGACACAGACTGAGGCGCTTTCTCAAGTCGTTAATCTCACGATAGCATTTTTGGTAGTCAGTGAGTTGATTTCAACATGTTTTGTATAAGGTTGTGATTAAGTTCAAGATTTTGAAAATGTTACTAGCCTATATTTTACTAGCCCATATTTTAAAACTTTTGTGTTGTGGCACTCTTTTACTAAATTATAATTAGCACGTTACGGATTTTTACCAAAAATTTTGCTTTCATGATGTATCTTATAAAGTGTTAGTGGCTTGTGTGTTTAAGAAAGGGATATAGAGCGGGGAACAGAATATAGCAAAGTGCATAATTGCTAAATTCACAATGTACTGTTCTATTGGCATTTTCTTTATGAAATAATAGAGGCCTGGTGCGCGAATTTGTGCATGGGTGGGGTCCCTCGGGCTGGCTGGTGATCGGGGTGATTAGGGCCATCAGGGCCATCTCGCCCAGTCGGCGGGGAGGGACTGCAGGAGGTTGGGGGCTGGCTAGCCAGGGGCAGAGACCACGGGAGGTTGGCTGTAGGAGTGCACTGACCACAAGGGGGCATCTCCTGCGTGAGCGTCTGCCACCTGGTGGTCAGTGTGCATCATAGTGACCAGTCAACTGGTTGTTCAGTCGACTGGTGGTAACGGTCGCTTAGGCTTTTATATATATATATATAGAAGATACCCATTTGCTCCTTTGGGAAGGTGGCATTAGCTAAATATGGTGACTGGGTCTGAGTCTGAGCTAGGAATTGCTAACTAGATAGAAAGTTCAACTATATTTTTGAATCAAAGACATTCTTAACTTTAAATATGATTATTACAGTGGAAATCTAAACAGACCCTTTCATGACTGTCTCTGATGATTTCCATTTCTTGCAGTCTCTCTAATTCATAGACAATTATTCTATCAATCGAGTGCATGTATTCTGAGCCTAATTCTTGCTCCTTCAGGTGAGGAGATAGCATTGGAGAGGTAGGCAGTTTCGTGTTAGACAGCCATTCACACTTTCAAGACATTTTGAATTTTTTCTTAGCAGTATTTATCACAGTAATGATTAAATACTTATTTTTATAATTATTTTATGACTCTCTCTCGATAGGCAAAACTCTGTGTGTCCAGGAACCACACTGCCATCACCTGCAGTAGTGTATAAAGAAATGGAACTCCGCATGATCTTTCAATTTGAACCAATTTTGTGTGAAAAATTATGCCTTAATAAACCTGACTCAAAACCAGAATTCATGAGGCTGTTCTCTATTATAATTAAGCGAGCAAATCATTAACTTGCGTTGAGAATCAGGAATGAACTCATGCTTTCCGGAGGGAGCAAAGAAACTAGTGGGACTCAACTTCCTACTTATCATTTCTACTATTATTATTCTTTAGATGCTGACCCTGATAAACTGGTAAGAAGGAGCTTCAAAATTCTTAATCTCTTAGAAAATGTAATGAAAAGAAAGAGTATGCCTCAGGCTTATAAATTTCTTCTGTCAAGGTCTTTGTATTTTGTGTATCATGAGTAGAAAAGCCATTTATTAAGTGATATCTGCCATTTTGCACTGTGTAAGGCAATGAACCCACAGTGCCTCAGGTGGGCTCAGTGATGCAGCACATGCCGTGTTTACTACCTCATAGAGTTGCTATGAGAATCCAAAGAGGGCATGATTGCACTGTGTAAAGAAAGTGTGAAGTGCTAAATCAAGACAGGTGGTTTCATTGCCAAGTATTAACAAACCTCGATATAACAAACAAACTTGGATTTCGGGCATCAGAGAGCAACCAACAAGCGGCATGAGTAAGATGTGTAGGAAAGATTTACTTGACTTATATCTGTGTTTGGCTTTTTCCTTGCCCAACAGGAAGAATATGTGGTGTTTAGGAGTTTTGTGCTTAGCACTGGTTAATGGCAGGAATTGAATTTGATGGATTGGAGAGAGGAAAGTGACTCAGTCGAAGGACTGCTATAGAAAAAGTGGAACTTAGAGGCTCTGAAGGAGTGAATCTTCAACAGGCGCTTTGTTTATTTGTTTTTGTACAAGCTCATCATAGTTTTTTATGATGTGGGTTTTCGTGTTCCAAACCTAGATGATCATTGTAGCAAATGTGCTATGTCACCCATACCAAACTCTGTCTTCTGGTATCTTACCTTCTGGTGTTTTTGCCACCCTGGTTTTTCATACATAGTCAGCTTTTACTGTTTTATTATCATAACCCACTGATACCAGTGATAAAGTTTTAGCTATAGTCATAACAAATTTTTTCTTTTATTTTCTACACATACACACATAATTAGAAATTTTGCCTTTTGGCCTCTTAGATTGCTAAGTCGGATGTCTTGGAGAGGTACTCCATGTTGAGCTCAACAATTTATTTGTGTGACTTTATTTGAGAACTTATTTACGGGGTATTGCAGAATTAGAAAATGAATTCTACCAGCAATCCAGATCACCTAACATCTGTTTCCTCACTCGCAAGATGCAGGTAATAATTTCAATTTCACTGTTGTCACCATGTTGTTGTAAGAATCATAACAGCTTAGCAAAGCTTGCAGTCAACTCTGAAGTTCTGTGCCAATATAAGGCAGTTAATGTTATGAATGGCACTCTTCTCATTATTTTTACCACTCCCAGAAGAGGATTCACTGATAAATTATTATATTTCCCCAGGGAGAGTCACTCCGGCGCAGCTCACGTCCTATATGCATCTCTTCAAGAACAACCTCAAAGCTCTAGTGAGTCACTGTGGACTCCTGCAGCTTGGGCTGGCCACGGTTCAAACTCTGAAGCACCCGCAGACTGCCAAGTGGGACAACTTTCTGGCGTTTGAAAGGCTCCTTCTCCAGGTATGTTGCTGTGGGAGCTTTTTGGGATAGTAGTAATTAAAATTTTCACTTCCAGAAAAAAACACTGATATTTATTGTAGCCTTGGTAATAAATCATATTGTTGACATATGCCCTATATCATATTCTCCTTGTAACACCAAATTAAAATCTAAATAGAAACTTTTTCCAGACGTTTTTTATTTATTTTGACAGTGACACCTTTGGCTTCTCACTCAATACTACGAATGTTTTTTGAGCATTTGACTAACCTTTGTAAACCTCTTTTCAGTTTTATGCCACTTGGATCTTTCTTGATCTTCATGGCATGTTTATCCAATTCTTACTACCTTTCCTGTAGAAGAGGATGTGGTTTAAAAAGATGCTTAATAAAAGATGAAGGGAGGCAAACTCCATTTGTAGTTTTATGAAGAAATTTGTATGTAGGGTGGGACCTTGTCACGATTGATGAAATATTTTAATGGAAAACTTTTGTAAAAAGATGTATTTTAAAAAATTATAAAGTATTTCAAACTTACATAAAATAATATAACAAATATCTATGTGTTCCCTGATACTATACCCTTCCCTGGCATTCCCTGATTCTCCTTGTTCCTTTCCCAGAAGTAATCATAAGCTGTGTTACTTGTTTATTTTTATTAAATATTTTTTTCATAAATAATACAGATTATTGTTATGGGCTTTATTTATTATGTAAATGACACCGCATCAATATTCCTAAACAACCTGCTTTTTCAACTTTCTGTTTTTAAGATAATCCAAATTGACATGTCTAAATCTAGTTTATTTGTTTAAACTATACCATACTATTTGATTGTAAAGATATACATCAATTTATACAATTCATATTGATGTATAGTTAGGCTGTTCTCTGTGTGTGTGTGTGAGAGAGAGAGAGAGAGAGAGAGAGAGAGAGAGAGAGAGAAGAAGAAGAAGAAGAAGAAGAAGAAGAAGAAGAAGAAGAAGAAGGAGGAGGAGGAATGTGATGAATATCCTAGAATAGGCCCTTGGATACACATGTGAAAGAGTTCTCTAGGATATATACCTTGGAAAGAATTGTTAGATTGTTGACCATGCATGTTGTTGAGTTTACTATCATCAAATCAGTGGTTCTCAACCTGTGGGTCACGAACAATGAAAATACATCCTGCATATCAGATATTTACATTACGATTCATAACAGCAAAATTACAGTTATGAAGTAGCAACAAAAATAATTTTATGGTTGGGGGTCACCACAACATGAGGAACTGTATTAAAGGGTCACGACATTAGGAAGGTTGAGAACCACTGCATAGATCACCAAAGAAGTTGAACTAGTTGACCCTTCTGCTAGGAATGGATGACAATTTTTTCCCCACATAGTATCCATCACTCAGGATTATCAAGCGTAAATATCTTTTTAGTGGGTCAAAGCTATCTCTTTGTATAAATTTGCGATTCTCTGACTATGAAGTTTTATAATATTTATTGGCTATTCAATTTTTTTCTTCTATCAGTTGCTTATACTTTGCCCATTTTTTTCTCTATTGGGTAACAGCAAAAACTGTTATACATCATGCAAATACTTCTCCCAGACTATGTTTTGTCTTTTAACTTTAACTCCTGTATATTTTATTGTATGAAAGTTTTAAATTTTTATTTAGTCTAGTTCATTAATATTATCCTTTATGGTTGGTGCTTATTAATATTTCGTATTAGAAATCATTTTTTACCCCTAATTTCTAAATATATTTTCTACTAAAAATTAATCTTTACTTTTGACATTTGAATTTTTAATCCACCTGGAACTTAATTTTGTTTATGATATTATTAGGATCTAATTTTCTTTTCTTCCATATGGATAGCCTGTTTTCCCTGCACCATTTATGAAATATTCCATTGTACTATAGATTACTTATTCAACAGTCATTTTTCTCATTCTTATGGTGGCAAAACACCAGTTTTGTTCCATGTCTATTCTGTTCCCACATGATTTAGGCAAATCCTAATTGGTCTCAGATTATACTGGTATTCTCATTTCCCACTTAGTGATTGATTTAGCAGGTCTAGCCAAAGAGAGGTAGAGGGAAGTTTGCCAAAGGTAATTCTAGGGAAGATTTTCTTTTGCCCTTATAGAAGGATACATAATGAAGAAACAAACTCCTTTATAGTTCTCTTGATGTATGTTTGTGACACTGAGCATTTTGTGATAATGAAGAGCTTACTGATATCCTGAGGAAGACAGAACAGAACCTGAATCCTTAATGATACTTGAGCCTTACTTCAAAAGACTTGATTTTATGAGATGATATTTCTTCTCATTGTTTATGCCATTTTGGTTCTCTGTTATTTGCAGCCAAAAATATTCATCCTTTTCCCACTGATATATAATATATTAATTAAGATTTCATATAAAGGTGGGTTTATTTCTCAGTTTCTAGTATTTCAGTGTTCAGTTTATTCATCAAAGAATTAATACTACAGCATTTTAAAATTAATATGTCCATTTTATGTTTTCTCTATAAAAGAAACTTATTAGATTCATTCATGGGTATTTTAAAGATTTTGATACCATTGTGAATTGAATTTTTAAGCATTTATTGATGAGAGAGAGAGAAATTGATTTATTGTTCCACTTATCTATGCATTCATTGGTTGATTTTTTTTTTTAAGTATGTTTTATTGACTTTTTACAGAGAAGAAGGGAGAGGGATAGAGAGTTAGAAACATCGATGAGAGAGAAACACCGATCAGTTGCCTGCTGCACACTCTCTACTGGTATGTGCCCGCAACCAAGGTACATGCCCTTGACCGGAATCGACCTGGGACCCTTCAGTCCGCAGGCCGACGCTCTATCCACTGAGCCAAACCGGTTAGGGCCATTGGTTGATTCTTGTATGTGCCCTGACAGATGATCAAATCTACAACCTTGGCATATCAGGATGATGCTCTAACCAACTGAGCTACCTAGCCAAGTTGTGAATTGAATTTTAAAAATGTTCTAATACTTTATTGCTGGTGTGTAGAAATGCTCTTTTTCTTTTTCTTTTTTTACTTAAATTACTTTTTTAAAATAGCAGTAACAATCCAAAGCTGCTTTTAAAAATATATATATATATTTTTATTGATTTCAGAGAGGAAGGGAGAGGGGGAGAGAGATAGAAATATCAATGATGAGAGAGAATCACTGATCGGCTGCCTCTTGCAAGCCTCCTACTGGGGATCGAGCCCGCAACCCGGTCATATGCCCTTGACTGGAATCGAACCCAGGACCATTCAGTCCACAGGCCGACCCTCTATCCGCTGAGCCAAACCGGCTAGGGCAATAATTTTTTATTTTTTAATTGAAGTTGACATACAATATTATATTAGTTTCAGGTGTACAACCTAGTGATTAAACATTATATAACCTACATTATATAAGTCTAGTATCCATTTGACACCATACATAGTTATTGCAGTATTATTGACTACATTCTTTGTGTTGCACTTTACATCCCCGTGACTACCAATTTGTACTTCTTCCTTACTTCACCTTTTTTCACCCATCCTCCCAACCCTATCCCATCTAGCAACCATCAAGATGTTCTCTGTCCTGATGATTCTTTTTTGCTTGTCTGTTTATTTTGTTTTTTAGATTCCACATATAAATTAAGTCATACAGTATTTGTCTTCCTCTGTCTGACTCATTTCACTCAGCACAATACCCTCTATGTTGGTGCATGTTGTTGCAGATGGCAAGATTTCATTATTTTTTATGGCTGTCATAATTGTATATATGTACCACTTCTTCTTTTTTTTTTTAAATATATTTTATTGATTTATTACAGAGAGGAAGGGAGAGAGATAGCGAGCTAGAAACATCGATGAGAGAGAAACATCGATCAGCTGCCTCCTACACATCTCCTACTGGGGATGTGCCCACAACCCAGGTACATGCCCTTGATCGGAATCGAACCCGGGACCTTTCAGTCCACAGGCCGACGCTCTATCCACTGAACCAAACCAGTTTCGGCACTACTTCTTCTTTATCCATTAATCTATTGATGAAAACTTAGGTTGCTCCCATATCTTGGTAATTGTAAGTAATGCTGTAATGAACATATGAATAAATATGTTCTTTTTATTTAGTGTTTTGGGCTTCTTTTGGATAAATGGAGTTGCTGGGTCCTCCTTTGTCTCTTGTTATATACTCTTTGCTTTAAAGTCTATTTTGTCTGGTATAAGTATTGCTACCCCAGCTTTTTATTTGTTTGTTTGTTTCCATTTTCATGAAATATATTTTCACATGCCTTTGCTTTCAGTCTGTGTGTATCTTTCAATCTGAAGTGAGTCTCTTGAAGACAGTATGTGTAAGGGTATTATTTTGTTACCAGAGGCCCAGTGCACGGATTCGTGCACTGGTGGGGTCCCTCAGCCTGACCTGCGCCCTCTCGCAATCCGGGATCCCTCAGGGAAGTCAGATAGATGGTTTCTGCCCAATCCCCGCAGACCCGATCCATACAGGAGGGAGCCCAATCCCTGCAGGCCCGATCCAGACAGGAGGGTGCCCGATCCTGTGCGTTGAGCTTCTGTCCCCTTGTGGTCAGTGCACATCATAGTGACCGGCTGACTGGTCATTTGGTCACTTAGGCTTTTATATATATAGATACCCTTACATCCAGCCTCTATATGTCTTTTGATTGGAGCATTTAATCCATTTGCATTTAAAGTAATTATTGATAAATATGTATTTATTGCAAATTTATTATTCATATTTTTTATCTTCTCTTCCTCCTCCTCCTCCTCCTCATCTCTCCTTACCCCCCCTCTCTCTCCCTTCCCCTCCCCCCCTCCTCTCTTCCTTCTTCTTCTTAAAAAGACCTGATCACATCCTGTGCTAGAATACTGCCATTGCCACTCCCCTGCTTGAATCTTCTCACTTCCCTGCTCAGGTTCTGACACTGTCATGGGATATTGCTGTCACCCAACCTCTACATGCATGCCTTTCTCACCTCCTTTGGTTCTGATAACCCATGTA